GGTAGCCTTTACGAATGCTTATTTTTTTAATCGGAATGACAAGCAGCCCAACAAGCGACAACTTGTGGCTGCGCGGAGACAATTGCTCATCTACCATGTGAGTGTCCTCACTTCAGTGCGCGAAGAAAAGAATTTTCGAAAGTTCTAGACAGAATGAGCAATCTCCACTTGTCAGAAAGAAAGGAGTGGTCGAGATCGTCCGCGGAATGCAATGCAATGAGAGCGTTGCCGCGTTTCTTGCGGGCAAGTGTCCTCAGACACAGACTGTGACCAGTGTCGTCTCTCATCCTGTTGTTTTTTTCTAACATCTCTTTTTGTGTTTTTTTATTCCCCTTACTCACTCCCCCCGTACAAAGTATATCCCAGCCGGTTTGAGAACTGGCTGACCTCTCTACCTTTCCTTTCCTCGCTCCTCCTTTTCCTCCTGATGCAATCAGTGCCAGTTAAATTCAGCGGTTAGAGAAAATACCGTCCTAATAAAGTGGCAAAAATGAAACTATCGCATGCTGGCGTGCCGACGCAGTGACGACAACGAAGTTGAGGTAGTGCGAGGTGGCACATCCGGGCCATCAAATAAATCAGTTGGTTGTCGTGCTCCATTGTAGCAGGATCCTTCTTACTTTCGCCTCTCAACTGCAGTGGTGATTCCCGAACAAGAAATAGAATTACAGAAGCTTTCACTGGGCACTCGAACTCAGCTGACCAAACCCTGACTCGCCTATCATCATGGCACCTAAATCAGTGGAGACGACCACGGCGCCCTGCATCTTGCTACCGCCGGAATCACCCGTACTTTGGCCAAACAGCCAAGCCATCTGGCTTCTGAAGATGGAGACTCAATCTACCTGCAAAACATCGTCCTTGCAGCCAAAGAGGCACGCCGTCATGGTAACCGTGCCTTTCTTCCAGCTCTGCGATGCGTCATGCCTCCTCCTGGACCGGAGGTCTATAACCTCTTCAGAGGTTTGGTGCTAGCCCTACCTCAACCGGCAGTGCGACGTCACTTACTCCTTGCCATGCCAAACGTTAGCTTCGAAACTCCAGCAGTCATAACCTCATAGCGCCAACAAGCCTTGTCAAATCAGGTTCCGCCAATTTTTGGCGCAGCAGCATCAGCCAGTTCGCAGGTGACCACGCAGCCATTTCAAGGCATGGTTTTTTTAAACGCTCTCAAAACCATTCTGTGCACGTCACGTGCCCCACCTGCTATACCCACGTGGCTTAGTGAAGCAGCACCGGCATCATGCGATGTGCCAACGCCAGTGGATGTACACGAAGCCGTATATGCTGCGAATCTCCGCCGAGTGCACGGTCGACACAATCGTCAGACGGCTAGAGTGCCTGTCAGCTATTAACAGCATCAATGACTGAGGAGACAATTGCTAGCGTTGCCGTAAGCTCACCATGACGTACATGCCGTCATCCAGCTTCTATATCACCTGATGCACCCGTGTTTGCACAAAAGCTGAACGGAGATGCAAAGCTCTCCGGAATAGGCAAGCACATTGTACCGGGCTATACCGCCGCCACAAAGCTCCTCCCGCTGGTCAAGAAGAACGCGAGCTTTCTAGTCAATGTGGGTCAACTTCATCAGCGTTCTTTCCACTCTTTTACCCCTCTTGCCTGTGCTCCAATCAACGTGACTCATCTTATAACAAGCCATGTCACAATTCCGCACATACCCACAGACTCAAACAACAATGGCGCATTTCTTGTGCTCACCCAACGACTTACACTGACAAATCTTCAACGCCACATCACGATCAGCCTTAAGAAAAACTATCTAACCTGGGACATGAAAGCCTCATTTCACTTCGTTTAATGAAACACTCCCGTGCGATACCAGAAGTGCAGCGCAACTGTCAACCTCAACCTCCTGATGAAAGTTGAGCACCCTTTCGCCCCTCTGCCTTCGCAACCAGGACCGTCACATTGACATATCTTGATTGTGACTCCGTCTATACGGCGGGGGGCTCTAACACATGATCGCCTGCCGACGCAGCAACGACAACGAGGTGGACGTAAGCGCGAGGCGGCACGGGTGGGACATGGAATAAATAAGTTGGTTTCCGGGTACCTATGTCGCAGCATTCCTCTTTCTTTACCTCTCCGCTACAGAACAAGCCAGCGAAACAATGCCACAGTTTGCTGAACATTCACAGACGCTCGTTTCCTCATGATGATACAGCCTTCCAAATCCGTGAGTTGCAGCCGGCGAGCTTTAAATTCAGTTGAAAGCAACCAAAAATGTAACACTGACCCTGGTATGACGTGTGCGAGTTTGAACATCTAGCAACGAGAGCTACGTCTCACAAACACAAATATTCAATACACAACGTCGTTCCAACATACAACCGTGCCTTGATCGACTTTCACAAAGACAGTGAACAATCGCTTTTACAGCCGTTTCATGGACGCGCCGCGTTACGTACTGATTCAGGTAGACCAACCAAACGCTTTGAAGAATATATACAATCAAAACGTAAGGCGAGACAGAGCCAGAGCTCTCTTTGTTCTTTTAAATATGGTGGTTCATACTTGTTTTCTTTCTCTTTCGTACGACTTCTCCAGCAACTAGTTTTAAAGCTGTATCATGTGCCTTGTTACTGTAGCCACTGTCGTGGCACACAAGACTATACTTGAAACCTTGCTTCCGCTTTTGTGGAACCAACCTTGCACCATCGTAAAAATTCAGCTTCGGAAAGCAAGCCCTTTGGTTCAGCATGTGAAGCCAGCTGGCCAAGATCACGGCACATTGCCGAAGTTCCCCAAAGCATGTCAAACGTGCACGTGCATGCGTGCCACCGCAGTCGGTGTAACAGGATGAATCGGCCACGCCCTCTGGCCCACTTATCCCGAATTTCTCTAGTGTTAGCTGTCATAGCCGCAGCACTGAGTTGTTGTCACACCTAAACCTTGAGGTGTGGTCCCTATATTGCCATGAAGCGTGATACAGGCAGCAATATTCATGTATTTCCGCTGAATATTTTATATCGCTTTATTTATGTGGGCAACGTTCCGTTTTGCTTTCTGGCCACCTCGTCATGCTGTGACGTAGCAGCGTGGGTGGCATGGTGACGTGACCACACGAAGTTGTGAGGCACGTCGCGCTGAGTATCGACTCCTCTCGCACACATGTACCACACAAGCACCAGCAAATTAAATTTGCCGGGAGTCGCAATGGCTAGCTGCAGCTGGCGCGAGCGATGTAGCAACCGTTGCTTTGGCGGTAGATACGTCACGCAGATCCAAAGGTGACACACGTCAGTACAGCTGCGACGTGCCGTCACTACAACTTTCATGGCCGATCCAATGAGCTATGCCAGAGTTGGACACGCTGGAAATGGGTCTTGATAGAGAGAATTAGCATTTACGTAAAATTGGAAGTGAATTAAAGTATATGCAAACGTTTGCTGTGTCTGACTATTCGTGTGGAGTGTGCGTACACACAGGGAAAACCTACCACAGGCTTCTTATAACTTCAAAGTTTGCTCGCACCACTTCTTTAAGTTAGCGCTATGGAACGCATGCTCATTCGAAGGTCATCCAGCCGCTCCTAATATTTCACAGGCGATGTGCCCCAGTGTTAGGTAACAATGAGTAAATTTTCAAAGCTGGTCAGAACCAAAGCAAATGAATGCAGAGATTGCTATGAACGTGCTAAAACATTGACTTTTTATGCTGTAGACGAGCGTATAGGTATGCATAGGCTGGCTAATTGCAACGAAGATTAATTTCAAAAAATACTTGCTGAAGCTTTATATAGGAATAATTCACACCCTTACACACGACTCCCACCCATACTCTGCATAGGGCCCTATGTACATCATTGCTTTCAGTCATTGTGTGGGATAATCTTTGGGTATTGCCTATAGTATGCGGCGAAAACATGACGCCGAGCATGGTGTTATTTCGGGCCATAAGGCGAACCCCGCCGGCGTATTTGTCAACTTCCTTGGTGTATATAGAAGTGGTATGGTTATCATATCGCTCCCTAGGCATTTTGTGTGAACTGCGGAACGTTCATTTCCCCTAGAAGAACACGCAACGGTGGGCGGACATGCATATTTTAGGAAAAGTTCTTCGGTTTATGCCGGTTACGCTGAGGAGTGCAGAACTCCGCTTTTTGTGGGAAACAGAGCTTTATAGAACATATGGCGAAATCTTTTGCAGAAAATGATTTTCTCGCAACACACAAAAATTGCCAGTTTTAGTTCGAAAGGTATTAAGTGGTCATCTGATGTGACCAGTACGCCGTCAGGGTCGACTGGTCACTTTCGGTGAAAGTGCAACTTTTAATTTCATTGTCATTACCATTAGCTACACATGCATCAGCCTCTCCTGCACTATCAACATAATAAGAACAGCACATACTTTTACATCTGTAAAATATCTCGTGCCTGCCGGGCCTTGTGCAGGGCAGCAACCGTAATAAACCAAATGTAACATGTCACATTCAAGACCAAAGGAAGGAGCGTCACCTTTGTCAGATTACAGAGAGCTTTAAGATATGCCCCATTTAAAACGCTCCACGCGAAGCTCACGTGTCTCGCGAGGCAAAAATGAGAAAATGGTGGTTACCTGAGATGACCACAGTGCCGGAAATAGTTAAAAAAGTTGTGCAATCGCATTCTTACAGAAATATTGTTTAGTACCTTCTTATAAGGCACCCAGCCTACGAGATTCAGCCAAAACTTCCCAATGGGCAGTGAGCGGTAACATTCATCGTTACCCGCATGCCACGACAATAAATAAATAATTATTATGTTTGTAAATTTTTTATTACTCTCAGGGTCCCGAGCCCCTACAAAAAACAAACGCCTTCGGATTTTATGAAACGTTCTTTCTGTGAGATCGTCCTGATTTGGCTGACAATTCTTTTCTAATTAATGATAACTATTAAGAAAGTAGGCCGGTAACATTTTTCGATATGTGTATTTGTGAGCGCGTGCACTGTACACACGGTGGAGCAACTGTTCCTTTCTTCATTTTTACTTCAGAAATGACTGGCAAGTACGTGCTCTCGGCTTTCATTCTATTTATCGTTCTGGCTACCACGAATTCAAGTAAGTGTTCTGAAAACGTAATCTCTTAATTATAACAGCACGACAAGTACAAACTACTAAACGCAAGTCCAAGTACACCATTTTATTTGAACAAATATTCACGTGGTTTGCTTATCAGTGGCTATTTTCTGAATGTTTCTTTCGCGTCACACCACGCATTGTCACATGAAAGCCTGGTCTATGTGCACCTTGGCTAATAAATTGATAACACTAGATGTACTACCCTTCCTCAGCTCTATATAGCGGGAGCCACTCAAGTATAAGACGAGCGAGCCGAAAATCACCTATTAGTACAATCTTGAACAACGAGAGAGGAGAACACAGTCACGCGTGGCCGAAAGCCTTGGACTTAGGGCTCCTCCAACAACCTGTAGATTCCAAATGCCATTCCGATGGCTGCGTGACGTCAACCTACGGGCCCGTGCGGGCGCCGCGCTTCAGTATTCTAGAGCGTCGCGCTCGCTTCTACTGGCGCTGTAATAGTCTGTGATGGATGCGAAATACTATGCAATGTATTTGAGAAGCTTTCTCGGGCACAAGTTAAGCATTCTCAAGGTAGATTAACTCTCATATGAAGACACCATACGACCCCAGATAAGTCTTAATCCATAAGATCACTTTTTCTTCAGTGTTGCTGATCTCTGTGCTGTGGTCTTCATCTGCGCATTGCTTTGGATGCTGTCATTTTTTCATAATGCATACGTTATTCAAGACAACATTGGTCATTGTGTGAACTACCAAACGTGAGATGGTGTGGTGTGTCCATTTTCTCATGTATAATGTTGGTGTGTGGTTCCAGCAAAGAAAATGCCGGCCAAGTGACGATACGATATGGCGTTGGTCACTGTATGAGAAAGAAAGTCTTTGGCGTATTCTCACAATGACAGTTTCTCCATAAATAGATTCGTAACGAGAACCATGCCACAGCGCTACTTCAAGCACAGCACTTCAAACAGCGCTACCAGAAGGAAACGATCGGAGTTGATCCGCTCAAAACAACAGAACGTGGGAGATCTGGGAGAACATTCAATGAGCATTTGGGGTAAAGAGAAGGATCGTTTTCGATGAGAAGAAACCTTACGCATTCGTTACTGATAGGTACTGTCCAAAAATTATTATTGCAGATCCCTGACAGCCTCGTTTTGAAGTTCATATATGAAGACACCTTGTTTCTTTTTTTTTTAGGTGCGGAGCATCTCTTGCTCGTGTCCATGTCCCGCGACGCCAGTGTCGCACTCACACTACGCATGCGCGACTCTCGTCCTTCTCTCTCTCCAACAGCTGCCCGTTACTCTCTCCACTGCTCCGCTACCGCACCTGCTTGCGCTTCTCATGCGTTCTCACTTCTGCTCTTGCGGCGAATGCAATACTTTCCTCGTCTAGTCTCCTCTTCCTCAGGTGTGAATACAAAGAGAGGGAAAGAGCACTGCGCACCTTCAGTGCAGCCGTGGGGGAATGAATAAACTGAGGAGAGGCTGTTACATCCAACTTTGTGAAGCTAGAAGTGGGGAAGAGTATAGGACTCCTTCTCTCAATTGTAGGTATGCTACGGCGGCTCGCGCATGCGCAACGGGCACCAGTGAGAGGAAGGCGCCTGCCTGACGGCTGGCCTTTGTAAACTCGCTGCCCGGCGTCTCCCTCTCGCTGGCGCACAAAACACCGGCATGGCCACATTGTTCCACAACCCCCTGCAAAAGCACGTCACTTCCGCCAAACTTTTCGCTCTGCACCGCGCATTGGAGGACCTCTCCTTTGCTATCCTTCCTCCATTAGTGCAGCGCTTGCTTCGGTTGATTCCACGGGTCTTCGTTGATGCTTCCCATAAAGTGTGATGGAAGCAACAGTACCGTCAGTCAGTGGGCTGACGCGAGCACGCGACAGGATAACTCCAAACACTATTAGCAACCTTACACGGTTCAGTTCAGCGGCCCCAAGGACATCCTCGTCAAAGCAAAATGCACACCTCAAGTACTAAACACTCCTTTATTATTACCTTCTTTAATCGTTTTACCTTTGTCTACGCAATTAAAAACATTACACCATCTTCCAGAGGGGAACCATGGGGTGATGCGGAGCATCGCAGAGTTTCCGAGAACGTTCATGCGATGTGGTAGCCAACGCACATTAACAACGTAATAACGCTGTTAAAAACGTTAATATCACCAATATTACCGATCTGTGATGCTCCGCATCACCCGATGATTCTCCTCGGGAAGATGGTATAATTTTTGCTTGAGTTCTTTTAAGTGACCTGTTTATAGCTTCTTGTAAATCAGCGCTCTCCCTTCTTGCGATCTTTCCCGCTGGCGATTCATAACGTGTTGGTATTGAGGGCAAGTATGTTGGACAGTTTGGAAAGATAGAAGGTACAACATTGTGCTTCAGCTTGCGTTTCTACCGTTCTACTTCCAATATCTTTCCTGTTCGTTCATCTGGATGCGACGGCATTGTTATAAAATCCCCTGCTTCAAAGTGCACCTCACAAATCTGCGAGCGCAAAGAAAAGGGGGGGAGGGGGGCGGGGCTGTTACAAACTCGCTACACAAGAAACACACTAAGCGTAGATTGAACCTGTGAATAGCTGTTTCTTCATAAATATTTATTGTGGTATAAGCACGAAGCCGTTCATAAAGTAAAATAAACGGAACAGTGTCACGCGTAGCATAGTAATCAAACACTTTTTTTGCGACACTATAAATTTTGCTATCGATAAACGTGGAAAATGCTACGCCTACGATCCGCTTTTTAAAAGGAAAAATAAAACCACCTTCGAAAGCGGTTTTCAACATCTGCAATGAAAGAAAATTACATTTTTTCACTACTTTAGTATTCTTCTTGCATCACATCAAGAGGATGCCATTTTTATTGTCGCAATAGCCTGCTACGTAACACGCTTGGCATCGAATGATGATTACACACATAACCATGCAGAAAACAAAACACAGACAAAACCAGGTCAATTTTATGGCAGTAAGAGCAAAATACAAGGTATTTTAGCTATAATGTAGGAAGAATAGCCTTCTTACCACTGCTCATTTACAAACACACCCCACTGATCAGTAAATATTCACGAGAAATGCACGCTTCTTCATTGTTGTGTTGAAGTATTCTCATTAGGTACGAGAAGAGTATACCCTTTTAATACAGATGTTGCAGCTGAGAACAATGATTCACACACCCGATAAAGCAATGCGAGAATTCCTTACCTTCGAATGCACTGTTGGCGAGAAATTCTTTCGATGAATAGCTCGAAACCATGCTTGTTTCCGCGCGTCATCGCTTGGAATTCATTATAGGCGCGCTTTTGGCCCTTTGTCAGAGTTAAAGTGGCACCCAATATCGCAACACTGACGCATGTTACACGAACGTGCAGTAGTTGCGATCGTCGCAATTCACGCCAAACATCACGTAGGGCAATAACACGTGTACGCCACAAAAATGAACGCTCTCATGGATACGAAGAACACCAAAATGGATGTAAACAAAAATTGCACAGCAGCTTGGCGCACACGCAGTCACTTGCCCGGGCAAGCGCGCCGAGAACAGACGTGGGGCCAGTATAGCCAAACTCTTTTCCTATTTTTCCGTTGGCCCCTCTGCGTGACGTAGGACGCGGTGAAAGGTGGATGTGAAGAGGCCTGAAGAGTTTTTAGAGAGTGTTGGTTCCTCGATGTGCGCGCCCCCCTTGCAGGGTGGAGTCACTCTTAAAAGAGGTGAGTGCCGCCTTCCGATCGGCGGCCGCCATTCGGCTCACCCCGTCTCGTCGTGGCTAGTTTAGTGAGACATGTTCGCGGCGTTTTCTCGGGCAAAATGCCCGGGTGTTGTTGCATGCCACACTGCACAACCCCTGGCAAAATGACTATAGGATATTCTAATTTTCGAAAAATTCGAAAGGGCAATTCTTGTCGTTGCTAAAAATCAACCGCGACAATTAAGTGGCAACCCATGGACCGTTCTTGTTTGTGCAGCCTAAGTATGCCATTTCAGTGTTTTGAAAATTATAACTTAAAACGCTATCACACGGACACTTTTGATCGTGATCGACCCTGATGTGATTAACTCTCTTACACTGCAGCTGCAGAAAGAAGGACGCCAACCACTGTTTAGAAATTTCATTGCGATTAACCGCGATCACCAGTGCACCAAGTGCACGTTCATTTGCTCGCTGTGTACATGCGCATTTAACTCGTTCCTTTCGTATATCACAACAAGGATTCTTTCTTTATTCGCTTGTTGCACACAAGCCAAAATCGCACCAGCGCTAGCAACAAGCGTTTTTGTTGATAAAAACGCTTGTTTGAAATAGTTGTTTTATAAAATCATATTGAAGCAAGAATTTCGTCAGTTCATGTTCAAAGGATATTTCTCACACTACTGTTTTTAGTTTAAAATCGACACGCTTTCAACTATTTTTATTTAAAAATTTGCTTTTATTTAGCAACTCACTAACCAGGTTGGCGAGGCCAAACGCGCTTTGAACGGCGAACCATCGGCTGCCTAGAAGGTACACTAGGTGAGCTTAACTTGCAGTTAGTTGTATCGCTTGTTTTTGACGTATATAAATCGTCAAAATAAATATCTCGCAACTGAAATTGCCGTATATTGAATGCATTTTACTTTCTCATCGTTGGAAGCCGTGTGGTCGCTTCATTTTCACATCTATTAGCGCTTTATAGGAAGTAATACTTTATTATATATTGCTGTGCAAAACACGCTTAACCTGACTTGCTGGTCTATGTCTGCGCACGAGTCGTGCCATTAAACCCGTATGTAACGCCCGAAATAGTATGATAAGCTTTTATCAATTTTTTTCCAATCTGCGCTGTTTGGAAGTAGACGAAAGAGATGAAAAAAATTCATAATACCATGCGCTGCAAGCTGCGGTCTGTAAATGAGGTAGCTGATGAATATTCTGAAGACAAGATATGAAATTACGGTACACAATCAATTAGTTCTCTTTCTCATAAGAGCACGTGGTTTCTTTTATTCCTTTTTTTTCA